AAGAGGTTAATAAAATAACTTACCGGGAATTACATTATACGAGAGGGTCATTTAATAAGTAAAGAGACAAATGGCTATAGCTTAAAACCGGTTTATTTCAATCTTTCAAAATTAAGGCTATTTTTCAACATAAGCACCCCCCACATTTATGCACTTGTCCCATCTTTCTTACAGCTTCCTAATTCCCATGGCGAAGAATTCTTTCGATTTACTCCGAAACCACTTTTCTACTGCTTCCTTAACTTCCTCATTGTTAGCAAATCTTTTTCCACGTAGGGTGTCTTTGAGTGGTCCAAACAGGTAAAAATCAGATGGGGCGAGGTCAGGGCTGTAGGCAGGATGAGGTAAGACCTCCCAACCCAATTATTGAAGCTTATCACGGATCAGCTGGGCTGTATAAGGGCGGGCGTTATCGTGCTGAAGAATGACTCCTTCTGACAAGAGTCCATGGCGTTTGCTCCTGATAGCTGGTCTAACTTTTTGTTCTAGCATCTCAGAGTAGTATTGGCTATTGATAGTTCGCTGATCTTCAAGGAAATCACAATAGACTGGACCCTGCGAGTCCCAAAAGATGGTCAGCATCGTACAAAAATCTATACAAATCACAAAAAAATTAAGGATACGTTGCAGACATATGACTGGACTTATTTCTGCAATTTAGATGATGTAGAGTCCATGACAAAGCTTACAAATATTATAATAAAATTAGTCCAGGACAATTCACATAAAATAAAGATAGACAAAAAGGTTGTAAAAAGAAAGTTATGGATTACCGACGGACTCATAGCGTTTATTAATAAAAAAAAAAACGAACTTTACAAAACACACAAACTGAAAATTTGTAATTAAAAATAGATTTATAAAATATAAAAATAAATTAACAAAACTTATCTCAGAAGCAAAAAGAAAATACTTTCAAAATGAAATAGATAAACATGAAAATTTTTTGCGAACTGGAGAGGTAGTGTATTTTTATACTCTGCCTTTTAGTCTCAGGGTCGTAATGGTGGATCCAGGCCTCGTCGCTGGTCACTAGTCTTTCAAAAATAGCGTCTCCTTCAATCAAACTTCGTTGCTTCAAGTCATGACTAATGGAAAGCCTTGATTCTTTATGAGCGTCAGTAAGCTGTCTGGGAACCCATCTGGCACACGTTTTTCTGTACTTTAAATTGTTCTGAATGACATTGTGAACAGTTCCAACACTTACTTAAACTTCCTCAGCTATCATGTCAACAGTAATTCTTCTGTTTTCACGAATAAGTCCGTTAATCCTCGATTCCCACGAGGGACCAGAAACTTATACTGGACGTCCACATCAAGGTTCATCATCTACACTTGTTCGGCCACTTTTAAACCGATCAACCCACTTGAAAAAATTTGCACGGTTCATACAACTTTTATCGTACAGTATCAACATTCTAAAAAAAAAATCACTTGGTTTTACACCTTCTGCGACAATGACTGAGCGCTGCTCTTCTAAGGTGCAATCTTCTAGTGGACTTGCCATGGTGAATTGAAAATTTTGAGGTTATGTTGACATAAAATGATGAAACAGCTGATTAGAGCATATCCCAAGGTTGCCAACTAACACCCCTGAATAGATTGTACACATTCTTTGAATAGTTTTAAAATTATAAAATTGGTCTCTTTACTTATTGAGTACCCCTTGTATTTATCCAATTCTTTTGGACGCTTATGAATAGAAATCAAACCATTACTGAACTGAACTCAAAAGTGATTATTGTATCTGCAAATAAAATATTACCGACGTTGCATTTTTTATGTGGAATATAACTCAAACGTGACCGTTTTATTGTATAGTAAAAAAATCTGATGTGTCCAACACATGACTTTCCTATCTAGTTATTATAGGCTTTTTCCGGTTATTATAGGCTTTTTCCGGTTATTTTGTACAACCTATTGCAGCATCTCTATAAATGTTTAGAGGATAAACTTAATATATACATTGTCCATATACATCTACCTCGAAACATTTTTCTATAGATATTCATTGAAAACGAAAATACTGAAAAATTTAAATTTAGCACTTTTCCTACAATTTTTCCATTACGGTCCATTTTAGAAAAATCATGTATGAACAAAAATTATAGAGATCGATATCGCAAACAACTTTTATTTCAACAATTTTCATAAAAATCAGAATTTTGCACATTTTGTCAAATTTCTCGAATACGGACCATTTCAGGAAATTTTGACATGAAGCAAAAATTATAGATAATAATATTAGAAATAACTTTTATTTGAACAATTTTTTTTCTCCAAACATAAATAACAGATATATTCCATAAAATATAAAAACGGCCCCCTATAAAGTACCCCCCTGATGTTCCGACTTTGTCCAAAATCTAATCATTTCACGTCAGGCCGAAATAAAACTTAACTTTAAAATTTAATGTTTTTTTCTTTATCCGTTTTTGAGTTTTCTTCAAATTTCAAAATTTACACATTTTCTTAAATATCTCGAATATGGTCCATTTTAGAGAAATTATGTATAGGATAAAAATTATAGAGAAATTATATTACAAACAACTTTTGTTTGAATAATTTTTATAAAAAATATTTTTTTACATTTTGTCAAATTTCTCGAATACGGACCATTTTGGGAAAATTTTGTATTGAATAAAAATTTTAGATAATAATATAAGAAGTAACTTTTATTTGAAAAATTTTCTTCCCCCAACGTAAATAACAGATATATTCCATAAAATATAAAAATGACCACCTATAAAGTACCCCCCCCCCCCCCCCCCCAGATGTTCCGACACTGCACATTGGACGCTGGAACAAAGCTTAAGTTTAAAATTTGGTGTTTTTCCGTGTATCGGTTCATGAGATATGCGACACACAGAGACACACACACAGACATCATCGCGAAAATAGTCAAAACGGATTCAGGGGACGTCAAAACGTAAAAATCCATCGAAAGGTCGAGGTCGAAAAAAATCATGATTCCTATACTTTCCTTATATCTGTATACAGATAGGAAAGTAAAAATACGAGAGAAATCAAATTCCCAGACGCATGGCAACGTGTAACAAACCGATCGACAGCTAATAGATGGCCTTAGCTGTGTTGTCAATGTGAAGCAAATTACGTTTTAAAGTGGTATTTATATTTTTATGTTTTAACATTCAAATAATAAAAAGATACCTAAAAACGTAAGTATTGTAATTTACCTCTAAGACAAATAATTAAATAATTTTAAATATGATACATTATAGTGTTAAGTAACAATTATATTATTAGATTCGTGCAATATTCAAGACGCCGCCATTGCCTAAGCGATACTTGGATATTGGATGCACACACATACGCACTCGACGAGTAGAAGACGGAAAAATCAAAAAGACTTATGATTGACGTGGGTTCCTATGCACACGTTTGACGCTCTCTAAATTTTAATTAATAATGATTGTTAATAAACTTTCTTGGTATTAATACATTTTATAAGAAGTGATTAAGTGTTTAATTTGGTGAATGTTTATATTTGAATAAAAGACGATTATTTTATTAAAAAAAAATCCAGTGGCTTGAATAAAATATAAACTAATAATTATTAAAACAAGAACGATTAATTAAATATTAAAATATATTATTTTAAACATTTTTTTTGCGTAATTTTTATAGTGCAAGAAATTCTTCTTTAGATTTAATATGACAACTCTAATAGACATTTCTGAAATTTTCCCGCTGTCAATTTGAAACCGTAGAATACGTTTGTATGTGAATTGGCGCGGCGTTGCCAATTTGGTTAAAATAATTTCATTTTAGGAACCTATTCCATATTTGGCTATTATTTTCTACTATTTACGCGCGCAACTGCGATTAGTGTAGAAAGCTGTAAGCAGAATATGTTCTGTGTTTTTCACAGAACTTATCTCCTTTTAACAACAGAAGATTCATTTAGTTAGACCTTATCAATCAGACTACCATTAGAATTTTTGTTGATATATTTTTTTATGTCGGTACAACTCAAACAATAATTTTAGATAGAAGCTACTGGTGTAACAATATTACAATTTGGTTATCGCCGCCTACTGGGGGTTTAGTGGAGTGTTAATATTATAAGAATATAGGAAATATTGTTTGTTCAAAACCAATGTATCTTAAAAGATTTACACTTTAATACATAGGACACATTGCTGATTTTAAGTAGATATTATTTAAAAAGTCATCTTCTTCTTAGGTGTATGAAGGTAAGTAGTTTGTGATTTGGTTCAGTATGATTGAAATGTTTCTATTGTTATTTTTACAAAGATTATGCACGACAAGAGCATATTAAGAAGGAGCATGAATAAAAAAAATATTTACTGATTAAATGACAGATCACAATTTTCTTGAGTATGACAATAATTTGCTTATCTTAAAACTTGTACTCATCGCATAACTTTGCGGTTATGTTAAGCCAACTAATGTGAATCAACTTATTTCAGAATAAAATACCTCTCCGAAATATTGTGGATGTTCATGGATTCATTAGGAATACAGATTTACACAAATATCTCAAAATAGTGACCATTAAAGAAGGAATGCTAAGCTATGTTAAAAAAACACAATTCAACTACGATCATCAACCAGCAAGAAATAGAAAGTAGATTTAAGAGGACGAAACCTTTAGAGCTTGTATTAAGAATCTGTACAAACTTGTAGGTACAAGGTACAAAGGTGACAGAGTGGGTGCTATGAACTAACTAAGCCAATAGGCTTCAGTGTTATTCGGAGATACATAGTCAGACGTGCCCAGGAGAAGAAAAAAAAAGGAAAAGAGAAAAGTAAACTAGTGTAATTTAGTACAAATGAAGAAGAAACTAAACCAAACAAACAGCTAATATCTCCCTAAGACACACCAAAGGGTAATAACTTAGCTTTAAACTTTTAGTCCATTTACGTTAAAAAAATTGATTATAAATGGATTTAAACCTATTACAATATAACGTTACATAAAGAAATAAAATTAAAAATCTATGAATGAACGGTACCTGCATCACTTCCTTCGTAATCAGTAGACCCCCTAGACGCGTCCAAAGGCTTCCAACAACAAAATCCATCACTATATACAGTCTGCCTTCCGGTGAACTTGTTAGGGTCCAAAATATTTTCCACGGAAAACGCTAAACGTCTATTCTGTATAGGCACTACCGACGGACTTTGGTCCCTAGGACTTCTAGACCTACTTCGATCACTACAAACACTTTTGGGACTCTTTCTATCGTCTTTGCAACTTGAAAAGTCACTATTCGAGTCAGTCTTGTGGAAAGTTTCGAAAGAACCGAAAGTTTCTTGTCGTCGAGTTAGATCGACGGGACATAGAGCGTCATCGTTTTCTACATCGACGTTTAGATCTTCTTCTTCTGAATGTTCGCACATTTCTGCGTCCCTCGTATCGTCGAGTTTCCTTTTGGCTTTCCTACGAAATATTTGCGGTTCTGATGGGTGCAATTTTTCCTTTTCTTCTTGGCAATTATGATTAGTGTTGGTCACGATTCGTTCCATCATTAACATTGTCATTATTTTTGTTAATTATCGTTACACTATGACATATTTCTTAACAACACTTTTAAGTTTCTACGAATTAAAGTTTTTTAATTAGTTTTTCACAAACTGTGTACAATATTGCTTTTATTTTTAAATAAGTTGCATTATATTTTAACCCCTGTTAAGTGATTTCCTGCCAAAATACTTCCTCTCGAATGTTGGAGTTTTTAGACACTAAACTAAATTTAATTCAAGAGAGATCGGCTAGGGTCCAGCATAGAATGGCGTTCTCAGCATCCAGTGGTAGGGAGCTCTCGGCTATTATTGGTTGACGATTCGCACAGTGTGGGCAAGTATTGGGCGGGAAATTTCGGCGGGCGGGGCCTATTTAAAAGGGCACACAGCGCTATTTGCTTTGTAATTATGAATATGATTTGTAATAACAAAAGAATGAGTTGGGAAATTAGCAGGCCATGATTATAGGGAATGTTCCGTAACAAAGGGTTTTTCCTGCAACAATTTAAATTTAGTAGTTGTGAAATGTAATGGACATCTGGTTAATTAAGGGCTGATTGTGATGTTATTTGTTTTTAAGGGCTGAGATTTGGATGACGGTGCTTATCAAAGGGGTCTTGAGGAATTTTACTGTTATAACTGGTTAAATATAAAGTGTTGAAGTTGTGGTTAAGTAGTGATAAGTAAAATTGCGTTTTGACGGATAAATAAATTTACTTTCCTTTTAAACATTTCATTGTTAAAGATTGTAATAAACAAATTTAATCATATTAATTAAACAAGATAATACGTTGTCAATACTTTGTAAACTCGGAGTAAGCTATGAAACTGTGACATGATCAGTGGCGGCTCATGGCCTAGTTTACAGGAGGTTACTTTAAAAAAGAAACTTTCTCAAAAAGCACTTTGGTAATTAATATTCGTTTTGTTGTTTTTATGTTAAAAACGTATTTTTCTTATTGCACATTGCACATTAACCTTAACCGTTTTTTGCTTTCGTCGTTTCTTCTATGTACATTATTTTTTGTTTCTGAAATAACTGCGTTACTGAGAGCTTTACTGATATGTAAACCACTTTAGTATATACTACAGACTCTCAACTATTTTATTGTATATTTAAATCATTTTCAGAAAAAAGTAACTTTCATCGTTTTTTCTGTGTTCTTTTCGATTGTTTGGAATTTATTCCATATTCTTCTTATAAAAACCTTCGTTTTCTTAGATTTCTTAGTAAACAGCCGTAAAATCTTTTTCATCTTCTATAACAGTGACTTTCTCATTTGCAAATTTATCTGCAAGAGGGGATGATTTATATGCTTATTGGTTTGTGATATATCTAGGATCAGTGGCGGCTATTGACCAAAATATTGGGGGTTGACACTGACAGAATATAGATTAGGTTAAAAAAAATTAAAAAAAAACACAGTGATTCTATATAAGTTTGGTTGTGTGTAGTTTACCTAAATCTGTGCTGAGATGTATATTCTATCATTGTGAACCCCCAATATTTTGGTCAACAACCGCCACTGTTTCCAGAAGATCAAGTGCAGATGCTAGATCATAATCTTTTGTCTGCAACAATTTGCTTATTGAATTAATATAGTTTAAAATTTTAAATTAAAGAACTATCTTTTTTTTAAATAAGTTAGTGGCACTGGACATAAACCAACAGGCCAGTCAATTGTCAGTCAAATAAAAATATCGTATAACAAACTTTATTATTTTACAAATTACATTAAAGTTGCTTTACCTTAATAACTAAAATAATGTAATATGATTTAAATGTTTTTTTTTATATTTTATTTTCCTTTTTTGTTTTTTGTTTGTTTTTCTTAATTGTTTTTTAATTCTTTTTTATTTTTTTGTTTTTTTTTATTTTTAATTTTTTTTTCTTTTTTTTTTCTTTTTTTTTGTTTTTATTGTAGAAAACAAGAATGGAAACTTATGTTTTAGACTGGTATTTTGTTTTCATTCCATTTTTCTTTGATCTCATTTTTGTCATTTTTGTTTGTTTTGTTTTATTATTTTTGTTTATTTCATTTTTGTTTGCCTACTAGTTTTATAGCTGTTTCTGACCATTATAGTAATTATGGTTTATTGTAGTAATTATGGTTTATTGGTGTTGTAACGTTATACTTTTGAATTTTGTAATTTGTTTTTTTTTTTAAATAATATACAGATTCAATAATATAAGATGCATAAATTATTAATAGATAGGGCGGCGATTACAAGTAGCACCGGGCGCAAAAATACCTTAAACCGGCACTGTATGAAAGTCATAAGCTAAAATCTTGCATTTTAAAAATTCTTCAGTCAATTCAGTATCTATTCCTTTGATAACACCCAGTTTATAAATCAAAAACTTAGGTATATATGCGACTAGGTTGTGTTGACCAAATGGTTGTTGATTTTAATAAGATATTTGCACTTAAGTAATCTTTAAATATTACTCGGATTCTATTTCTACCTATAGACTGAATTTGTTTGATGTTGAGATTAATTTCTAGATGTAAATTTAAGATAATTTTACAAACTTTAATTGCTTTTAACTTACCCCGAAAATCTGTACAGTTATTTTCAATGTAAACTTTTAATGGGCATCAATCTGTACTCTTATAATAAGTATACAATTTCTGATTTGATATATTGGTTTTGATGTCATTTTTAATTGCTGCTCCATTAAATGGGTTGGGAATTGAAGAAATGTTGTTGTTAACTATAGTCTGGAAAAAATTTGTTGAATTTTCGTCTTGAATATTTGGTGATACGATATTTCCGTTATTTTTAAAAATGTTTTGCTTAATAAATTCAGGATTTATAACATGAATATCTGGAGGTTTAGGTGTGTTAGTTTTGGTATATGAATTAGACATCTCGCTATAAAAATTAAAATTTATTTAGACCTTAAAAAAGTATAATATTAAAATGTATTGACAGTCTTCTTCGTCAGTACTTGTCGTCGTCTTGTTTATTATTATTTTTTTTTCTTCATTTCTTTTTCGTTTCCATAAAAACTCCATGACCACGGTCGTAAAGGCTCGACCAATCAAGGCACACCTCAAAAGTCGTCGAGTCGATATATCTACCTAAAGCGTTATAATAAACGTTATAACCATGACATCAGTTACGACATCGACGCTTGACCAACCTCAAATACAAACAACTTAAAAACTTTAAAATAAAATGACAAATATGTCAACACTAAAAAAGTTAAGGTTGTGTGGGGAACATGATGTCGCCACAAGGTGGAGATGAAGCAGATGAACCGTCCTTGTCATCTATTTTCATTTTACCAAAATTAAAGACTATCTTATCCTATATTTTCTTTTATTTCTAACGTGAACTAAACGAAACTATTAAAAGAAACAAACTAAAGTATCTTTTTCACTTAAAAATTAGCAAAAATTAACTCTGTACTTTTAGTTCGCAGTTGATAATTATTATCAAATTTGTGACAATCTATATGACCTAAAGAACTATAAAATACAAAAATTTAAATTAGTTAATACAACTTAATAAACCTTTATTAAATTATCAATTTCCTCATTCTCATAAATGCTTAGCAAGACGTCGTATACGCCTCCGATATAAAATTGTAAAGGCTTTAAAGCCTCTATTCTAAAAATCTGAAATTGTATAAAATAGGGCAATTTTTCTTGTCCAATTTTGTCAGATCTAGAGTGCTCAATGTTTAAATAAATATTCTATTTTAAAAATACCTAACAAACTTTTGCTATTTAAAAAAAAAATTATTTATAAAACTAGGGTCCTGATGACATGTAAGTTAAAATTAAATGTAAGATTATGTGGAGATCACGATGTCGCTACACTAATATCAAGAAAGTAAACAATTATTTGTTTTCAAATCCATTTTGATATTATATAATTACAACCTATTTTAAGACTCCTAAACTCCAAAAATTCGACCTACATTGTAATTATGAAACATTATCGCCGCCTCTGGAAAGTAGTATGGAGAGCGACTATGCATGGAGAGAGTGGAGAGTGGACCGCACTAGAGTGTTAGCAAATAGACCAAAGGCTGATTCCATTACGGCCCCTATTATGTACTGATTGAAATGAAATTGACACATCTGCTACTTAGAGAATCGCTTTTGTGAGGTGCCGAGACCGGAATTATGCCGGGGGCTATTGGGAGGCAGATCATTTGCTCTCTCAGATATTTGCTCGTGTGTCACTCAGAAGTGTATCGGAAAAGATTTTTTCCTGTCCTGTTGTGTTTTATTTAGCAAGGGGACATTAAAACTTTTAAAAAAGGATTAATGACATTAAAATTGTACCCCTGAAGGGATTAAAGTGGAGAAGATAAAATACGGTTATAAATAATTTAATGGGCTTTAATGTAGTTACAATGAAATAAGTATTCAAATTATAGAACTGGCTAAGCGCCATAATTATTTTCGGAAAGTCGACAATATTTTCATAAATTATGTTATATTATCCGATACATGTCGTTTAACTAATTAAAATATTATTGCTGAGAGTAGATAAGACACAGATACGTTTAAAATTTGGCTAGTTGCACTACTTACTAATATTTTCTGTATGATTTTTTTAGATAATTTAAATTTTAGACCAATTTTCCATCGTTTTATTTAGTTTTAAAAATGGGAGCTCTTTTATGGAATGCTTTTATTGTGTTTTTCTTTAATTACTCTAAGATTTCCGAGAATGATTTTTAATGTAACCCCAAAAGAAAAAATATGGCACAATTAAATCAGGTTACCGCGAAGGCTATCTCACTGGACCTGCTCTTTTACTAACTAAATATTTCTTTAAACGTTTTCCTAGAACATATTAAATGTATCAATTGAGATCCAGAAAGCTACTGGGAATCCGCTACAAGGAGAATCTCCTACAAAGAGAATTCTGTCCTGTGGAAAAAGTCCTGTACGTTTCTTTAATATTACCTTTATAACTTTTTCATAGTTTACTTGTTATTGGACTTATATTTAATAACTATTAAATAAGCAACATTAAATATGATTGCAACTTAAATCAAATTGATGACAAGGTTACGATAAATTTGAAAAAAATCTTAATGTATATAAAACGTGACAATATGTAGGTATTGTATTAGTTTACGGATTGCTTTAAAAAAGCAATTCGAAACCAGTAAATTTCAACACCATTTCATTAATACCGAATTAAAAATATAAAGCGCTTCGTTTAAATGGC